TGGCTGGCGCCTTAGCCGCTTGAGCCACAGGCGCCGAGCTTCAAAATCCTTTTTTGATTAAAAAAAGTTTCTGGCCGCACCTGTACCTGAGTGGGTAGGGTGCCAGCCACATATACTCAGGCTGGCGGGTTCAAATCTGGCCCAGGCCAGCTAAACAACAATGACAACTAGGAGGCTGAGACAAAAGAATTGCTTAAGCCCAAGAGCTTGAGGTTGCTGTGAGCTGTGACGCTATGGCACTCTACCAAGAGCAACATAGTGAGACTCTGTCTCAAAAAAAAAAAAAGAAAAAAAAAGACTGATCATTTTGGGTATTCTTAGTTCCATCCATCAATTATAAAATTCCTCATCAACTTTTCACCTAATGATTTTTGCAGCCATTAGTAATGACTTCCTGGATGGATTATAATTTGCAAGGTCAAAGGGATTGCCAGGTCAAAAGGTAAAATGCGTGTATAATTGTGCCAGATGGCCACCAACCTTCTTTCCATAAGGGTACACCATTTTGACATTCCCATCAACCAGGTATGAATGCATTTATTTTCTCACAACCTTGCTAACAAATTTTGCTGTCAGTTTTTTGATTTCTGCAAATCTTGACAGCTACAAATGTTATCTCTATGTAGTTTAAATTGTATTCTTCTTATAGTGAACAATCTACATCCTCTTTCTGAAAATAATTTGTACCTCCTGCCCCATCTTTCTTCTCCTTTTTAAAAACTCATATATTAAGGGTATTATGTCTTGATAAGTGACATAAATTGCATACAATTTTTCCCACTTTATTACTTATTTTACTTATTCCATGTTTTATATATATTTTTATGCAAATTTAAGCTTTTCTAGGTAGTCAAATTTTCAGTCTTTCTTTTATTGGTTCTGGACTTTGAGTCATAGTTAGGGAAGTCTTCCTGTTCTTCTGAGTTATATAAGGAATTCATTCACATATTCCTCTGGTAATTGTATGGTTCAATATTTTTACATTTAGATCTATAATAGAAATTTTTCATTTTCCATTGTATTTACTTTCTTTTTTATTGTTTACATTTTTTTATTTTGCCAATACTATTTATATTTACCTGAAAACTAAGCATGAGAATCTACCAAATATCACAGTGTGCTGATGTGGCAGAAATAATCACAATAAAGCAACACTTAGACATGAGGGAAAACAAATCCATGGAGCCAAATAGAAAGTACAGAAAAAAACCATACGTGTATTTTATGAGAAATACAGACTTTTAAATTTATGGGGAAAGCCCCATTGGTCGTAAGTGACAGTGAGCAACACAGCTAGCTATCTGGAGGGAAATTAACATGAGAAAATGCATTAACACATTATTTTTAAAAAGGACCAGGAAACTCTTAGTGAAATCCCAATTTGAGTAGGGGCAGGAGTATACTTAAATGTGTATTATTTCTAAAGGAGGAAGTAGAAAAGAAAATACAATGTTTATCACTAAGTGGGAAGATCTGACAAGACTTAGATTTTATACTTTTCAACAATGATTAATTTATTACTTATAAACCTAAGTAAAATAACTGTCATAAAATAAATATTTTGTCAATTATTTAAGCAAGCATGGCTTTTTGAAATACTTTATGCTGATTATGTTAAACATAAAATACTTTTACTTACTAGAATTTTTTTCCAAAGGAAATTTATTTCATTTCCCTAAAGAAAATGTCAGTTTGCCTTTTTAAAGTACAAAATCTGACGAGGGTTTAAGTAGTGTATTGCTTTAAATTTAAAGTAAAACAAGGCTTTCTAGGTTATACTTGAACTTCAATGCTTTCAAACCTTAAAATTTTGTTTCACATACATTTTTAATAAAGGATATTATGCATATAAATGCAGTTTTCTCCTTTGGTACAATATCCTTGTAAATAAAACTTGCAGATCTCTTTTCTCTTCTCCAGCTCTGCATCATGATCAAATTTACACTGATCTCCCTGTTTACAGAAAAAGAACAAAGAAAGAAAGGAAAGAAAGAAAAAGGAAAAAAAGTAAGAAAGAAGAGGGAAAAATGAAATAAAGAAACAATTAATTTGAATTTTCTCCATGGTGTTTCATGATGGAATTCATGGTCATTATTTTCAATCTTTAAATAACAAGCTAACAGTAACTCAAACACTTCCTTAGAATTCCTGCCCAAGACAGCAGATGTTGTTACATGCAGCAGGACTGCACAGTGAGCAAGTCCTCAGAGGATGCTGCCTGAGTTCAACCAACACTCAGTAGTTCTGAACTTATTTAACCGCTCAGTGCCCCTTATAAAATAAGGATAATAATAGCGACTATGTCATAGGGTCTCTGTAAGGTTTAACTCATTTAATATTAGTTGTACTTCAAATAGTACTTGCCATATAACATTATGTGATTTTAAATAAAATCTGACTTTAAAAAGTTACATTACTGTCCCAGAATCAAATGACCTCTTATTATAGTATTTGCACACAAGATACATTTTAAAGAACCAGTTTTATTACAATGTATGAGAAATTTAAAAAAAAAATTTTTTTTTTTTTTTTTGAGACAGAGCCTCAAGCTATCCCCCTGGGTAGAGTGTCATGGCGTCAGAGCTCACAGCAACCTCCAACTCCTGGGCTCAAGCGAGTCTCCTGCCTCAGCCTCCCAAGTAGCTG